TTGTGACATTTTGTCTTCTGTGTCGTTTTGCTTCTGCCTGCCTGTGCAACATTGCAGATCTGAGCTCATGAGTTTCATTCTGCAAGCCTCCACGTGTTGATTGTGCTATTCTCTGTAATGTTTCCTGCGCACGTCTCTCCCTTTGTCTCGCAGCAGTGGCAGCTTTACGTTCCCCCACAGTGGCGTATTTCTTTGGTCGTGCCATGAAAGGTTTCTATTATTATATTAAAATATTAGCTTAACTATTTCACTTATCATTTTATCGTAGCGGTTCAAATCTATCCAGTTTTTCGTTATTCGCCCTCTAGTGAACATTACAGGCATTCCGTGACAACAATAAATTCCTATTACAAATATACTGAATTATTTATATTGTTATATTGACCAAATAATAATTTATTGGCCAAATGAATAATAATAATTTATATTGTTAATTTAAATAATAATTAAAATTGTTAATTTAATTTGAATGTTTGAAATATGACACACGATAGGGGCGCCTCTAGTGTCTGTAATCAAACGGTTACGGGACGGACGGACAGATACTTGTTGAATGGGTTATATATGTAGATTTTAATAAAATTTAATTAATAATTACATTAAAAGTATACAAACTCTATATTAAATTTGTAGCATTCACTAAAAGTGTTAGTTATTAGCAACCAAATGTCGTACTACTTTATAGTAGTTTAACACAATTATGCAAATTTTTAGAAGTGAAAGGGTTGCGGAGGATTGTGAGTCGACATTTATATGTGCAACTATGTTGTTGACGTCGACGGACATACACCATTTGTATGTTGTGATTGGATAATTTAAATTAGCAAACAGTGACACTAGTGAGTCTTTATTAAACTAATTTTTTCTCATTTTTCTCATTTTCAAAAGAAAAATGTCACTTTTCGGTATCCTTTTCAATAATGCCCGTTCATTTCTTTCACATAGCGCTATATCGTCCTCCTTACCTCCTGGGGCCCCGCTGGCTGTGATTCACGGTCTTATGATCCGAGAAGCCCATCATTTGTACAACCGCGATATTGGGGTGCGCTGTTGGAAATGATAATGGAACTAGGGGTGATGTATCTGGACATGTGCCTGCTTTTGTTTTCCACCTGAAAGAAT